ACTACCCTCTGCAATAAGAAGCGTTTCTGACCAACACAGAGCAGTGTTTTGTGCCTTTTTTATCCCCTCTGGGTAGTAGTTATTCCGTAGACATGTCTGATTATGGTAAACCACTCACCTGTTGAAGAACATCTGGTTTCACAATTTGACAATTATGAGCAAAGCTGTTATAAACATTTGTACACAAGTGTCATGCTAGCACAAATTTTCATTTCTCAGAGATAAATAAATACCCAGGACAGCAATTACTGCTTAAATGTCAGTTGCTTGATTAGTTTTTCAGAAAACTGCCAAAATGTCAGACCATGTTTCCACCAGCCACAAATGAGTGACCGGGTTGTCTGAATTGTTGCTGCCATTTGGTATTGTCAGTGTGTGCTGTATGCATTTGTATGGTGTGTGCAGCATGTGTATGTGAGAGAGAGAGAGAGAGACAGAGAGAGAGCGCTTGCACTCTCACCAGCGCATGTACAGGTGGAGGTTAGAGTCAGTGTCAGGTGTTTTCCTCTGTCACCGCTCCACCTTCTTTTTTTTTTTTTTTGGTTGTTTTTTTTTTTTTCTTTTTGTTTTGAAACAGTGCCTTTTATTGAACTCCAAGTGCTCCATTTCAGCATGACTGTCTGGTTGGGGAGCTTGGGAATTATACCCGTCTCTGCCTTTCAGAGCTCCGGTTACAGATGTCCAACACAGGTGCAGTGTTTTTTACATGGATGCTGGGATCTGAACTCAGGCCCCCATGCTTGCACAGAGAGCACATTACGAACCTTCTCCCCAGCTCTGCCATTAATTTTCACTTTAGCCAGTCTGATGGTTGTATAGTGATAGCTCATCGTAATTTTAACTAACATTTACCTAATCTTTTTTTTTTTTTTGGTATTTGTATGTTTTGTTCTGAAAATGTCTCTTCCTATCTTTATTCTAATTGAATTATGCTTGTATTGTTGACTTTAAGACATGTTAGAGGTTAGATGTGGGCTTTCCATTTTCTCCTGTTCTGCAGCACACCTTTTGTTTTCCTGATGGGTCTTTCACCAAGAGGTGAGGTTCATTTTATCACATGTTCCTTTTAGTTTTAGTGTAAGTCTAAAAACTCTTTGGTTTGCCTTATTGACTTAAGTTTTTCTTTATTTCCCTCAAAAAGTTTTGTAGTTTTCTGTGTTATATTATGTCTGTGATCCAGTTTGAATTACTTTTTGTATAAATGTGAAACCCAGCGTAATAGTCCTCTCTTTCTCTTTCTAACTTGTGGATGGCCCTTTTAGCACTGTCTATAGAAAAGACTTTCTCTCCTTTGTAGAATTGTTTTTGTGCCTTTATCCAAAATTAGGTGTATTTGGATGTGTTTGGTTCTGTATTCTGTTCTATTCATCTGTTTATCTGCATTGTCAGTATTGCACAGCCAGGTCCAGTACCTGCTTTTATTTTTATCCATAGCAATTTTACTTCTTTTGTTTTCTGTGTAAATTGCAGAACAGTCTATTTTTGTTTCCTGTGATCTCTCTAGGAACGTGAGAGGAGCTGTGTTGGATCTGCATTTTATAACAGGGACAATTGACATTGAATTCATGAACATGATCTACAGTAGCTTGGATTTTTAATTTCCCCCCGTGGCCCCTGCGTTGAAGACTTAGTTCCCTGACTTTAGTGCTATTGGAAGATGGAGGAAGGTGTAATGGGGGTGGGGCACATGGAAGGAAGTTAGGTTACTGGGGCCATTGAAGGGAATATTGGTACCTTAGCCCCATTTTGTTTCTCTCCCTCTCTTTTCGGCTGCCATGTGTTTCCACTCTGATATATGGCCTTACCCCACACAGAAGCCACGGAACCAGGCAGAGACCACGAGCTCCAAACTTTTTTTCTCCACAGGTGACTTGTCACAGTGACTAGAAGCTGACTAATAGTCTCTAGTTTGTTCACCAACCTTAAGTAGCTTCGTTCACTTTCACGTCTTAGTAAGGCCCTTCTTGCTCTGGTTCAGGATTCCCACATTGCTGTATTTTGGCATGTTGTTTGCCCAACCCCCAAGACTTTCCTATTCCTTGAAGATGGGATTGGGCCTCTTTTTCATTGTTTCTTTGTATGTGTGGCAGTTGAGTTGAAACAGGAGAGACAGGTCAGTTTCAGAGACCTCAAGGGTGAAATAAAATCTTACAAGAGGCCATTGGATTTGCTATGTCTAGAAAGATCTGGGATGAATGGAGAAGATCCCAGCCTTCCTGCTCTCTCCTCAGTGCTCTCTTTCCTTTCACTTCCTCCCCAGTTCCCTCATCTTGCTGCTCTGACCCTTGTTCCCCTGGTGCATTATTTCTTAAGGATAGACAGTGATTCCCTCTCACCTGTGAGGATCCTGCTGTCAGGTAGGTCATCCCCCTCCTTCTTCACCTTCAGCAGCCTGTGTTGCACTCATTGCAGTGACTCCATGGCCTGTGCATGCCAGCAGGGAATCACCTTCTATACTTAGATTTCTTTTTTGTTTTTAACTATTGGTTACATTTTATTAACTTTGTATCCCAGATGTAGCCCCCTCCCTCATTCCCTCCCAATCCCACCCTCCCTCCCTCATCTCCTCCCTGCCCCTTTCCAAGTCCACTGATAGGGGAGGTCCTCCTCCCCTTCCATCTGACCCTAGCTTATCAGGTATCTTCAGGACTGGCTGCAAAGTCCTCCTCTGTGGCCTAGCAAGGCTGCTCCTCCCTCAGGCGGGGGGGGGGGGGATCAAAGAGCCAGACATTGAGTTCATGTCAGAAATAGTCCCTGTTCCCCTTAATAGGGAACCTGCTTAGATACTGAGCTGCCATGGGCTGCATCCGAGCAGGGGTTCTAGGTTATATCCATACATGGTCCTTGGTTGGAGAAACAGTCTGATAGAAGACCCCTATGCTCTGATATATTTGGTCCTTGTGGAGCTCCTGTCCTCTCCAGGTCTTATTAACTCCCCCTTCTTTCATAAGATTCCCTGCACTCTGCCCAAGGTTTGGTTATGAGTCTCAGCATCTTTCAGAGGCCCTCAGTGGTAGGCTCCTGTCCTGTTACCTGTTTTCTCCTACTTCCAATGTCCATCCCATTTCTCTTTCTAAGTGAGGATTGGTCATCTTACGCTGGGTCTTCTTTCTTGCTTATCTTTAGGTATACAGATTTTAGTATGTTTATCGTATCTTATAGGTCTAGTACCCACTTATAAGTGAGTATATACTGTGTGTGTCTTTCTGCTTCTGGGATACCTCACTCAGTATGATCTTTTCTAGATCCCACCATTTGCCTGCAAAATTCATGATGTTCTTGTTTTTAATTGCTGAGTACTATTCCATTGTATAAATGTACCACAATTTCTGTATCCATTTCTCTGTTGAGGGACATCTGGATTGTTTCTAGGTTCTGGCTATTATGAATAAAGCTGCTACAAACATGGTTGAGCAAATGTCCTTGTTGTGTACTTGAGCATCTTTTGGATATATGTCTAGGAGTGTTATAGCTGGATCTTGAGGAAGCATTTTTCCTAATTGTCTGAAAAAGCGCCAGATTGATTTCCAAAGTGGTTGTACAAGTTTACATTCCCACCAGCAATGGAGGAGGGTTCCGTTTTCTCCACAACCTCTCCAGCATGTGTTGTCATTTGAGTTTTTGATCTTAGCCATTCTGATGGGTGTAAGGTGAAATAGATTTCTATTATGAGCATGTTATGATTATTTTTTTACCTTACTCCCTGTAACATTAATAGTGTGCTCACTGAGTAGAGTCATTGCTTCAATTTTATTTTTATTTTGTTGATTTTAAAATCTAGAAGTCATCCTTTTATATTTAAAGTTTAACAGAACCAAAACAAATAGGTTTTCAATTTAAAACTAAGAGTTAAATCATAGAGGTTAATATTTTTCAACTTGAAGCTAAAAGGTGAGCCACTTACAAGACTTTAATTTTTAAATGTCTGTAGCATTCAGGGCTTTCTCATGTTATCATAGAATATACCTTGTAGGAATAGGTTCTCTTTTTCTACCATGTGGGTTCTGGGGATGGAACTCAGTTCACAGGGCTTGGGTTCTCCCCTCCGCTCCCTGCTCAGGGTTCTAGAATGCCAGAAATCATTAACTTCCTTGCTTTCTTTTTCTTTTCTTTTCTTTTCCTTTCCTTTCTCTTTCTTTCTTTCCTTTCTTTTCTTTCTTTCTTTCTCTTTTCCTTCTTTCTTTTTATTTCATTTTCTTTCTCTCTCTTTCTCCCTCTTTTCTCTCTTTCTTTCTTTTTCTTTCTTTCTCTCTCTCTTTTCTCTTTCTCCTTTTCTCTTTCTCTCTCCTTTCTCTTTCTTTTTCTCTTTTTCTTTCTCTCCCTCCCTTTCTTCTTTATTTCTCCCTCTTTCCCTCCCTCCCTTCCTTCCTTCCTTCCTTCCTTCCTTCCTTCCTTCCTCTCTTTTTCTCTCTTTCTTCCTCAATTTTATCCCTCACAGCTGCTGTTTGAATCACTGAATCATTGTTTAGCTTTTTGTGTAGTCACTGAGGTTCCCTGACAATGCAATGGTTAATGGAGCTATAGCATGTGATTTTATTTGGGTTGCAATTTACCTTTTCTTTTTGAAATTATGTTTTTCACTTGAAAATTGCTTCTACAGGTTTACATGTACTGACCTTGGAGCTGACTCATCATATAAACTGTGTTGTGATTATTTTTATCATGATTATTTTTGTTACTGTTTTTTTTTTTTTTATTACCTACCATGATACTCACTCACCATGTAATCGTGCTGTGATAATGTTGATGATGATGATGATATTGATGACTGTCCTGTCATGTACTGTCCTGGAGCTGACTTCATCACATCATCCACTGTCACTATTTTTAACTGAAGTCAATGCAGGCATCTTCTGTCATTTGTTCCTGCAGAGGCCAGGAAAATGCAGTGTTTTACTTTAGTCTTTAACATATGCTTTTATTCAGTAGCTTCCATCTAAGAGTGAATCTTAAGTGGAAACAATTGGTATGCTTAAATAACAAAGCCTCTTTCTTTCCAGATTGCAGCTGTTCTCCGTAAGCGGAAGCTGGAATATTACCTGTACAAGCTTCTCCCTGAGATCCTCCAGTCCGCCTCCTTCCTGACTGCTAATGGAGCCTTGTATATTACTTTCTTCTGTGTTTTAAGGTTGGTACTCATAATCACCAGTGCCTGTTAATAAATGGAAACCATCTTCGTGTTTCATTGCTCTGAAGAAACACCACGATTGAGGCAATGTCTAATGAAAGGCATTTAGTTAGGGGCTCGAATGCAGTTTCAGAGGGTGAGTCCATGATCAATATCACAGAAAACATGGTGGCAGGCAGGCATGGCGCGGAGCAGTAGTCCAGAACATACATCTTAATCTTGATCCACAAGGTGGAGGAAGAGGAAGGGAAAGAGATGGGAGAGCAGAAGTTAGGGGGAGAAGAGGAGGAGTGACTAGGCCTGGTATTTCTTTTTTTTTTTTTTTTTTAATTAAGATTGTATTTTTTTATTTTATGTACATTAGTGTTTTGCCTCCATGTATGTCTGTGTGAGGGTGTCAGATACCCTGAAAGTGGAGTCAGACAGTTGTGAGCTGCCATGTGGGTGCTGGGAATTGAAGCTGGGTCCTCTGGAAGAGCAACCAGTGCTTTTAACCACTGAGCCATCTTTCCAGTTCCTGGTATGGGCTTTTTAAAGGTCAAAGCCTACTCCAGGGACACACTTCCTCCTCCATGGCCACACCTTTTAATCCTTCATATACACTCTACAGCTTGGAAACCAAATATTCAAATATATGAGCCTATGGGGTCCATTGTTATTCAAACCCTACAGAAAGAAAGATCTATTTGCATAAATGTTATTCAGGTTACTCTCTTTCTTTCTACTTTAACCTGTGAAATGATATTTACCTTCAAAAAAATTTGTAAAATCAGTAGCCTTAGGTCTTTGCCTCATGATGTAAATTTCAAATGATTGGCATGATTATGCAGCAAAATTTCTTCAACATACTCATTTTCTGAGGCGTATCATAGTTTTGAGATTGTTGGTTAGAATTTCTGCTCAGGCTCAGAATTCAGGAATGACCAGGCGTCTAAAGCAACTGACATATGAGGTTGGGGGCCAGAGCGGACACATGGTTGCACGTTTTAAAGAAGCTCCTGGTGTGGTCTCCTGCTGGACAGTGTCCTGGTTCAGGCATTCACTCCTTGCCTGTGCTGCCTGCTGTGTGCACTGAAGCAGTCCAACTCTCAGGCTTTTGAGTACTGCAGGAACTTCTCACTGCTGTTGGAAGCAAACATTTATATCCATCAAGTTAAAAGTAATTTTATGTCATCCTCCTCTTTGTGTTGTTTATGGTAGTTTTGTATTAATTATATTATTAATATATATTAATATATGTCATATATTAATCATATACTTTCCAAATGTCTCCTAGAATTTTTTTTCCCCTTTGGCCCACTAGTGTTTATAAACTGCACATAGTAGAGGAAGGAAACAGTAAGGTTTCTTGCTACAGAGCCGACTGCAGCTTGACATTGACTTGGACATATGTGTAAGGAGCTTGAGCCTGTGAGCCTGGCAGTGTAAAGACTTGTCAGGACTTCAGGCACTGCCTGCCCTGGAAGCTGCTGTGGCGGCACACTGTTCTGTGAACTGTCTGGTTAAATAGTGGAAGTGTAATGTGTTCACAGAGAGAGAATATTGGTGTTCTCTCTGGACCTGTCTTCCTAAGCCCCCTTCCCTCTAGAACTTATATTTAATAACTTGGTAGATCCTTTGCCTTGGCAGGAAGAAGGTTTTTAATGTCTCATGAATGCTTACGTTAAGTGTTTATGACAGTTTTTAAAACCCAAACTTTAATTATAAAGATATTTTTTTCAGATTCTTGATCCCTGTCTTGCCCCCAGCTTACTTTTTCCCCCCTCATACTATATGTCTTTTAGCCACTGGTCCGTTTTGTTCAGATCATATCTTACAGTACTTAGAGGCTGGTTCTCTTATTCTTAGGAACATAACTGTTTTGGAAAAAAAAAAAAAAGCAAACACACCTAAGGCAGGTGATGGTGGCACCTGGCTTTAATCTCAACATTCTGGTGGTTGAGGAGTCCCAGCCTGGGCTACATAAGTGAGTTCCAGGTCAACCAGAGCTACAAAATGAGGCTCTCCCCTCTCAAAAACACATACCACATGCCTCCAGATTTGTTTGGAGGCATAAGCAGTAAAGCCATTTTTAATATTTTGAGAACTGTTCAGATACCTTCTTTCAAGTGACACTGTGAATAAGAGGTTTTACCCACATAAAACTGAAAAACAACACGTTAGTAAGTGCTATAAGGAAACGTGTAGGGTTGTAAAGCATAGAAAGAACCCTTTTAAAATACCTCCTGGGAGTCTGTTGGGTGACACGCAACAAGCAGGAGAGGAGGCGAGGCAGGGGACTGCTTGGAGACAGGTTAGCCTAGGCTTCATGGTAAACTAAGTACGGCATGGTATACACAGCAAAACTCTGTCTCAAAACACCAAACCAAATCCAAGCCAAATGACATTCCAGAACTACTGTATCGAAAAGAAGACTGGCGATGCTTATATAAACAGCTAACATTTTCTGAAAACTTACTGAGTGTCCTGCATTGTGCTGGCAGAGAGAGGCAGCAAGCCTGGCCTGGGACATGGTGAGTTTGGAGTGCTGTGGAACATTTGGATAGAGGGTGGGTAGAGAAGAGAGACTTCTGTTTGTAAGGGCTGAAATGACCAACTAGGAATTTCATGCAAGTATTCCAAATTTGAATTTCAGGAAGATACTTGGAAAATTCTACTCATGGACTCCTGGCTTTGGTGCTGCTCTACCAGCCTCATATGTGGCCATTCTAATTGAAAGAAAAAGCAGGTAAATTTTATGTGTCTACATATTTAATAGAATTAGTTACCTGGGAAAATTTTATTTTATTTTTGCTTATTATTCTTATTACTTACTTACTATTGGCCAGGGATGAAAAATCATTCCCTGTATATTTTTTTCCATTCTGAAGTTACTTGATTGAAAATTATTTCTATGTGAACACTGTTTATTCCTGAAAAATAAATATAAGCATATTTCAAATATGTAGTACAAAAATAAAGAAATATAAATAAAAGAATAGAGAACAGAAACACCAGCTTCTTTTATTAAAGTAAAAAGAAGGTTTTGTGATATGACCTAATTAAAGCATGAATATGGAAATTCCAGGGGAAGCCTTTTTCCTTAGCCATACCCTTGTCATACATAAGAAAGTTAATACGTTTTCTGTCGCTGTCTAGGTGTGGTCTCTGCTGCAGGCTGATTGACTAACCTGTCATACCAGTTGTCTTCTATAAGGAAACCTGTGAACAATTTTTTTTTATTGTTTTTCACATAAAATTTTCCACGTGAACTCATTCCTACTGTCCGTAGAAGCTTATATAAGTTGTTGAGTCAGAGGATGGTTGGTGTTAAAGCTTTTTCATAAGGGAGTATTTGTTATTGCATGGATTGCTAAATTCAAAGACCTGGTAGATGTTGTAATGTCTGAAAATTCAAGACATGTTTTATTCAGCTTCAAAGGACAGCATAGCACAGAGCTCAGGTAGGGTCTCCAGAGCCGGCCTCTGGCTTACTAGTCTGGCTCAGCTGCTAACTCTGTTACCTCCTTGGCTTATTATTTTTTTAAATTAAATTTTATTTTATTAATTACACTTTATTCACTTTGAAACCCCCCCCCCTTCCTCCTCCCCTCACGGTCCTACCCTCCCTCCCCTTTCTTCACGCGTGCTCCTCCCCAAGTTCACTGATAGGGGAGGTCCTTCTCTCCTTCCTTCTGATCTTAGTCTATCAGATCACATCAGAAATGGCTGCATTGTCATCTTCTGTGGCCTGGTAAGGCTGCTCCCCACTCAAGGGGAGGTGATCAAAGAGCAGGCCAATCAGATTATGTCAGAGACAGTCCCTCTTTCATTACTATGTAACCCACTTGGACACTACACTGCCATGGACTACATCTGTGCAGAGGTTCTAGGTTATCTCCATGCCTGGTACTTGGTTGGAGTATAAGTTTCTGGGAAGACCCCTGTGTTCAACTTTTCTGGTTCTGTTGTTCTCCTTGTGGAGTTCCTGTCCTCTCCAGATCTTAGTATTTCCCACTTCTTACATAAGATTCCATGCACTTTGCCCAACAGTTGGCCATGTCTCAGCATCTGTATTGATAGTCTGCAGGGCAGAGCCTTTCAGAGGCCCTCTGTGGCAGGTTCCTAGGTTGTTTCCTGTATTCTTTATCTGAAAAATGGAAGTGGTGATAGTCTGTCATGCTTTTTCAGATAATTTAGTTAATATGTGAAAAAAAAAAAAAACCCTATAACAGCACAGTTTTGTGTGTGTGGTAAGCATTACTGTTTGATGTTGTTGCCTGTAAATAGTGAAAGAATTACTCTGCTGGTAGCACCTTGGATCAGTTTTAAAATGTGAATGTTGGTTTTGAAAGCATGTTCACAAGATTACTTATACATGAAACTTTAAACCTGTTTTTTGCTTTTGTTTTGTTCTTTCCTTTTTGGTTGGAGATTATGTAGTAGAGCATGGACCATTCATCAATGGCTACACAACTGAAGAAAATGATACTCCTTTCTCCATAAACATCCTTTAATCAGTGTGCCATGGTTAACTTTTAGCACTAAAGTAGAGTTATGTGCCTGTTTCAGCAGGAACTGGTGACATGAATTCCTACATCTACTTTTAGCACCTAAGTAGGGTTGCATTGTTATGTACCCATTTTAACAGGAACTGATGATATGAATTTCTACATAAACTCCAGATCGAGCAGTTAGTATTTAAAATTTCACTTGCATGTGCGTGCGCATACGTTGTTGTATGTGATTATCATGTGGAAGCCTGTTGTAGACATTAGGGCTATTATCTGAAACTTTATCAAGAGATTTCCCCACATAATCACAAATGCTTCCACACATAAGAAAACTAACAGTCATTCCTTGCTTTTGTTTGTAAGCGTTATTGTTTGATGTGTTTATTCTAAATTTAAGATGGTGTTGCTCTCAGTATTTAAGGCTTTGGATATCTTCATTATTGCTATAAATATTCTATAGATTATGATTATAGTGGATTCATTAATATCTTTTTGTGGAAATTTCTCCATCATAATCTGCATTACTTCTTTGGTAAGGAATTATTTTTCAGTGAGTCTAAAATAATAAAAGGACCTATTGCTGTTAATATATTTTATTGCATTCTTACCTGAGGGTATTGTTTGTAGTGTTTCCTTTGTTTGTAACCTAATAAGGTTTTCTATGTAGCTTAATTTATGCTAAGGTTTTTTTAATAAAATAATTTTATGAATACTTGAAGAATGTATTTTCTATTATTGGGGTTGAAAGATATTTCTAGGTTCTGTGCTGGTAATTATGTTTTTCAGGTTATATCTTCGTCTTGAGATAGGGTCTCTGGTATTAAAATATATGAGAACTTGGCATAGTGGCACACGCTTTTACCCCCTAACTGAAGAGGCAGAGGCAGAAGAGCATTCTGAGTTTGAGGCCAGCCTGGTTGCTATAGTGAATTTTAGGTCAGCCAGGGCAACACTGTAAGTTCATGGCTTAAGGAAAAAAGTTAATTCTTTATAGTTTGAGTCCTTTGTTGTTTTATACATCAGGATCAGAATTCTTTTTGTTTTGCTTAGTATGCCTTAACATTTTTGAGGACAGGTTATGTGTCTCTCATTCCATTTTGTTTAGTGAACCAATTTGAAAATCTTAATATTTTAGTCAACATGCATATTTCCTGGCACCACTGATGTCATATGTTGATATCACCACTGTGTTGGCTTTTTAATTCTGCATATTGTTGTCAGTAGAATACTGCATGGCTCATCTGCTTTGTGTCTCTTAATGAACAGTGCACGGACTAAGCAGAGCAGCGGTGCCCCCGCCCTCACCCTGCTTTCCTTGCACCCCAGCTAATGAGAGAGTCCAGTGTGACAGTAGGAAGTGGGCATTGCTGTCGGCTCCCGAAGAACTCAGTGTGCCTATTTGTACTTCCGTCATGTGTTTGTGTAAATTCTGAGCAGCTTGTCCTCATGAGTTGACTTGTTTAACTCCTGTTGCTGTCTGTACGCAACATGGTTTCATCACCACAAAGACTGCCTGCCCTGTAGGAACAGGTAATCTGTTTTGCGCTTGTATATGCCATGTTGAGGGCTTGAGTGGTTACCGTAATGCAATTATGAAAGTGTATCATTTTAACACAGGCTGTTTCTTTCCTTTTTAGAGTAAGCATCATGCTGTTGTACCACCCAAGATGTTACCTCTATTACTGGTTCATTCCTTTTCAATGCTTAATTTTCTATTATAGAAATATACTGGTGTGCATTTATGATTAATTTGTTCTATTGTTACTCTATCAATTTCAAATTATTTTGATTTTTAAGAATTTCTCTCATCAACTTTTGTCATTTGCAAGCTGTAATTTGCATACCATGTTTCAGAACAATTGTAGTGTTACTAGTATAAAAATTTGGTTCACCCTTTTAAAAGTATAGTGGTTAAGGTATATTCGTAAAGTTGTTCAATCTTTATCATAGTCAATTGCAGGAATTTATTTTCACCTCCAGTGAAGCCCCTTTAGTGACTCATAACAAGTCCCCACTTAACCCAACCCTAGTCAGTCTCCAATCAGTGTAATGTCATTTCCCCCTTTGGTTGTTTTACGTCGGTGGAGTCACACAATAGCTGATTGTTGGTGAGTAATACTGCTTGTTTAGCTGATGGCTTGAAATTCAGGATAGATGTGCATTGCTTCTTCATTGCTCATTGCCCTCAGAAGACCCGTGCTCCGGAGCTTCAGACCCTGTAGGCTTCCCGTTGCGAATGATGCTGCCTTACTTAGTCTTGTGTGCATTGCTGTATGGACTAAATGCTTTCATTTCCCTGGGGAATGAGCCTCGCTGTAGACTTGCTGGCTTACCTGGTAACCATGTCTAACCCTTTGAGGAACTGTGAGGTGTTTGCAAAAGTGGCTGCTTGGTTTTGATTTCCTCTAGCAGTATAGGTAGGGTGTCTCAGTGTGGCTTGATTTCCCAGATGACCAGTAATACCAGAAATCTCTTAATGTGTATCTTCTATAAAGAAATGTCATTTTACCATTGGGTTACTTACTTTTTAGCTGTTGAGTTGTGACTTGTTTTTAGATATTCTGGATGTAAGTCTTTTGCATCTGGAATTTACAAATATTTTACCATTTTCTGTGTATTTGTCTCACCACTTTCTTGGTTATGTCTTTGAGAACACAAAAATATTTTAAGGCCTGTCTGTCTTCTTTTGTCTTGTCTTGTCTTTTGCCTCCTTCCCTCCCTCCCTGCATCCCTCCCTTCTTTCCTTCTTTCCTTTCCTCCTCTTTTTTTTTTCCTCCATGTATATCTGCGTGAGAGTGTTGGATCCTCTGGAACTGGAGTTACCGACAAGTGTGTGCTGCCATGTGGTTGCTGGGAATTGGGTCCTCTGAAAAAGCAGCTAGTGCTTTTAACTGTTAGCCCATCTCTCCAGCCCTGCTCCCCACCCCTCTCTCTTCCTCTTTCTCTCTCTTTTTAAGTGTTCCTGTACACTCCAGGCTGACTTTGAACTCAGGGTTTATGCTACACTGGTCTGTGATTCCTGAGTGTTAAAAGTACAGATATGCCCCATGCCTGTCTCTTTTTAATTAAACTTTTGTTGACCGTGTTATTGGTGTCATGTTTGAGAAACAATTACGTCTAAAGGTTTACTCTTGTTTTCTTTAAAAGCTTTATAGTTTTAGGTCTTACATTTTAGCCTTTATCTATTTTTGAATTAATTTTTGTATATGATAGGAAATATGCAAATATAATATTT